TATCACAATGATAAAATCGGTCAATAATTATTTATAATTATTAATACTACGACTCATGTATTCAATTACAAGTAATCCATAATATTTTAAATTTTGAAATCATATTTATTTTTGGCATATGAATTTTTTGAAGCTGTTTCTAAATATTTGACTGTCTTTCAATCATTACACCTCACCTTCTATCCTCCTCCGCCTCACCTACTATCCTCTTCCGCCTCACCTGCTATCCTCCTCCTCCTTCGCAACTATGAGGCACGCGGCCGGCACTCTTTAAGAACCACTGATCTAGAGTTATTTCTCTTGCAAGGGTTTATATATATATATATATATATATATATATATATATATATATATATATATATAGTACTGGAGCATCAATCCCGCTTTTATAAATGTTTCATTAAAGATAACCGACAATGTACTTCAATTAAGGTTTTTACTTTGATTTTTGTTGTATCTTTATAAGTGTTTTACTTTTCTGGACATAACGTGTGTAAATATTGCCCAAATGTTCTGAATATTCGAGCGCTTTCGGCTATTCTTTTAACCATTATCAAGGTGATCATTATTGTTATTTTTAACTGAATGTATAGATTTTTTTATGCATGTATCTATAGTTATAGGAAGATAATAGTCATCCACAATATATATATATATATATATATATATATATATATATATATATATATATATATATATATATAGTTACCCACAGACTGTTTCACTGTATCATCCGATTGCTTCAAGCCGGGATCGAAACCCGACTGATTTGGCAGAGATTTTACCCCAAGCTATTGTCACACGGCAAAGTGGAAGGGAAATTTTAACGTTTTTACTATGCAAAAGACGTCAGTAGCTAGGAGAGCATTGCATTGGCAGCAGTAGCAGCCACTGTTTATAAAGCCATCCTTCCTCTCCAAGAGATCAATCGAATTATTTCGAGAGCATAAATAGTCATCCATAGACACGCTGTTTCGCTGTATCACAGCTCATCAGTGTGCCTAGACATCCAATTGCTTCAAACCGGGATCGATATATAAAGATTCACATGCCATAACGACTTAATGGATTCGTCTGTCAAATTCCACAGCAAAATTACAGATGAAGCATTTTCATTATTATTCTTTTGAATAGTGTTATGATGTTGATTTGGGGTTAGTAGAGACAAACGCCAAGTAACACGTAACAATAAAAAGGGTTTTAATAGGTTGGTAAAAAGGTACAGAAATCGCCTGAGTAGTCAATAACTAGCTCAGCTAAGAACTTATCTGTCTATCTCTCTTCTTCATGTCAACTGACATGCCACTATTTAAAGTCTTTGTTCACAGACGCAGACAAGTTCATCTTCAAGAGGGGTGGTAGGTTTCCGACACAACAAATAGTAATGTAAATTCTTGAACAGAAAATTTCCAAAGATGTTTTCGCATCGAATTTAGCTTTTTTTTAAGCATTTCATTTCACTGTATACATGTTTTTTGCAGTATTGTACATATTTGTTTATATGCTTCGGCAAGTGAATTCAATGTGCCTTTTGTTTAATTCATGACTAAATTTCTTGTGGGCAAGTATACATAAGATTATAAATCACAAATTTTTGACACCTCGATTGATATATAATCGTTTTGGAATGTTTAAACACTATAGTTTAAATGATCGCCATCTTTCTCCTGTTCCATCATCCCTCCTTCTTGATGTGAAACAGAGCAAATGTAAGGAGAAAGGTTTATAATTAATAATATTTTGACTTAATATAAAGTTTATTCCGAGAAGACTCACAAACTTTGTAAACCTCCGAACGTCATTTCGACACACCAATGTGAACGCATCGGAAATGTCGTCTCATTTTGATTCAACATATTAATAGCACTGCAATCATCTACACTATTACACTGTTAAAGCGTGAACAACTCTTTTTGTATTAAAGGAAGGGGAAACTTGCCTTATCCACACACACAAACACACACACACACACACACACACACACATATATATATATATATATATATATATATATATATATATATATATATATATATAGTATGTGGCTTGTGCGCGTGTGAAGAGAGACAGTGAGCGAGAATGATATTTATATATTTGTTTCGGTGAGTGAATTAGATCGGATTGTGTTTTTGTAAGGCATTTGAAGCAATCGTAGTCCAGCAAGAGATGATTCAGAATTACCAGTGGCTAATTTGGACTTGGGCCACACATCGCTTCGTGTCCGGAATTTCTCATGACGCTCAGATGCTGAACAAATAATAAAAAAAAAAACGGACAAGCAAAACAAACAAACCTTGCGTTTCAATATTGGACTGAAGAGTTTTATTGCAAAGCGTGGCCCACAGGTGGCGTTGCAACCGAATTGTGGACGGCAAATTCATCTCAGAGGAATTTCACTACGGACTAATCATCCATCATACGACTTGCTCTCCGCTTTTTTTCCTTTCCCTCCATCTTATTTTTCATTTCTTTTCTTTTTTTTTAATTTTTGGACTCATTTGCCATCTTTTATTTGCCAGATCTTTGTATATTTTTATCCTTTTATTTTGTTTTCGTTATCATCCTTATTAGATTGTTTTTTTTTTTCATTCGGTTTTTCTCCTTAATTTTCCACAATTTCTGTCCCTACTTATTCAAATATTTTTTTTTTTATTTTATTCCATACTTGTCCGTTTTTCCGCGTCAATATTCCACAACTCCTCTTTCTACTCATTCAATGATTTTCTTTATTTTATTCCCCACACTTGTCCCTTTTTCTTTATTTTCCTTTCTTTCTTTATTTATTTATCGCATTCTTTTATTTTTTTTATTTTTAATCTTTCATTTTTTTCCCCGTCTTATCGTTTTCACGTTTCTTTCGGGGGGGGGGTGTACGTCTCTTTCTTTTTATTTTCCTGTCTTTTTCACTCTTTTTCATTTATCTTATTTGTTCCATTACTTTTTCTTTCCTCTCTAATTCCTTCTATCCTTCCTTCATTTAATTTTCTTTCTTTTAGATCTTCCATTTTCCTTTTTTCTTTCTCCGTTCGAACTTTTTACAAGTATGCTTTTACGAGAGGCATATGCCGCTTAGACAAACGTGTATAAATCTCCGTATTAGCCCATTTATAGGCACACAGACACACGTATATATATATATATATATATATATATATATATATATATATATATATATATATATATATATATATATATATATATATATTTAAACATATTGTTAAATATAACAAACAATGAATATCTATTATGTTTGATCAGGAGCCGTTCTAAATTTCGTATGGTTGCTTTAATTTCGGGTGAAAATAAAGACAAAAATTGTTCAACATTTGGATATTTTTTATTAAGTTGTTCCTTGATCTAAGCTTCCTGAAAGCTATTTTTTTATTGTGTACATATTAATTTCTCTGTAATAATAAGTACACTGAGCTCTATTTGCGGATTAGTTTTAGTATTTTATATTACTAGGATTATATACTAACGGATCTATATATATATATATATATATATATATATATATATATATATATATATATATATATATATATATATATATATATATATATATAGGGCCGACCAAGAAGGAGATTACGGCCACAATACGTAGAGACACTGATGCTCCCCGTACAAGTTAAGTAACGTCGAGACTAGATGGGTGACCGCTTGGGAATACCAGTTGTTGTAAGCTTGGATGTGCGGGTGGTGTAATGGATAATGGCTCAGAATTCTTAATCTAAGAGTTGTGTTCCAATTGATATATTTATTTACACACAAATACACTTGGGAACGGTATGAATCCACCATTTCTCCCTCAGCTATGGGTTAATTAGTGATACTTTTGTCAGTAAAATCGTTATTATATCCAAAAATATTTCTTACAATCTAAAAATATTTTCTGCCTTTAAATAACCTTTAAAAGATTGATTGGCTGTAAATAAACGAATCAGTCAAATCAAACCAGAAGAAATGCTGGTGTCTGACCATTTCTTTTGATTTTAGAAAGAAAGAAAGAAAGAAAGAAAGAAAGAAAGAAAGAGAAAGAAAGAAAGAAAGAAAAAAGAGGGAAAAGAAAGAAAGAAAAAGAGGGAAAAGAAAGAAAGAAAGAAAGAAAGAAAGAGGAAAAGAAAGAAAGAAAAAGAGGGGAAAGAAAGAAAGAAAGAAAGAAAGGACTGATGGATAGACAGATCTTCATACTATTGCAGTGATACGCATGAATATCACTAAATATGTAGCCTAATGTTGAAAATAGCATTTATTTTTGTGCAGCAAATATTTATGTCAGTATAAGTACTTTCATTGTTAATGCTCTTAATTCAATCGAAGTACCGTGTTAGTGATTATAATTAAACATGTATTATATAGTGATTGCTACCTAAATACACAAATGTAAGTGTGTGTGTGTGTGTGTGTGTGTGTGTGTGTGTGTGTGTGGAGACATTTATAGCTAATTATGTATAGTTCAAAATGCCTAACACTGCGCACAAAAATTCTATTATCTTCACATTTAACCCTATTTCCTCATGTTTTTGCATCTCGACTTCTTCGGAGAACAGAGAAGTTAATATTCCCTAACGAAAGCCGTCTTTTTTTTCTTTTCTTTTTTCTTTTTTGTCTTACCACCGCCAACCCATATTCAAGTCACAGAATGATGGCGTAAAGGTTCCCAAATAAATGTGGTTAAGTGCGTGCCTTCAACAGAGATCGATTAAGACTGCGAACAGCAGATTGTGATGGCTAAGATAACTACGTAATTCCTACTGCCACTAATATGAAAGCAAGATTTCGAACGATAATTTTCAGTGGAGCACATGAACACTTTTTTCCCTTTGACCTTGCGCCAAACTAAATTTGTATTAATAACCTTCCCGAACAAAAATAAAATATATATATCCAATGTAAAATGCGATGTCTGGAATGTATCCAGCCATTTTGAATATTTCGAGAACCGTTTGCGCGGGTTCGATCTACGTTAGCAATTCAAAGCTGAATTTACTGTACACCACATTAAAACACCGTTTCCCGTATGATCACCGAAGTTAAGCAACTTAAGTCGAAACCTGGTCAGTAACTAGATGGGTGACCACTTGGGAATACAAGGTGCAGTAAACTCGAATGTGCGGGTGGTGCAATGGATAATTGCTCGGAATTGTTAATTGGGGAGCCGAATTTCAATTCCAGTTGGGTTGTTTTATATTCACTTACGTGCAAATACGCTTGGGAAAGGTATCAATCTCTCTCGTCTCCCCCAGCTATGGGTTAATTAGTAAGATTTGTATCACTAGCACATTATTATCTAAAAATAAATAATATAAAATTGCGTAAAAAATATTTAGATTTCAGCATTAAATAATCCATAGAAGTGTTGATATGCAGCTAAAAAAACAACCAATCATCTTAGTGCGCGTGCATGAACAGAGATTCACTCGTGACACATGCCATTAAATGTGGTTCTGCACTTTGTGATCCTCGCATTCAAATGGCAATGTAACAAAACAACTGATCAAGTTTCCTAAACGGCAGAGGTTCTAAATCCCTTTTTTTTTACCCCCCCTGGATCACTTTTTCTTTTAATTTCTTTTTTCGTGGAACCCCATATCCATTCGATGAGAAAATAAAAAGCTTATTAATTTTAAGTTTAGTAATTGCATTATAGAAATATCAAATGCTTTGTTTTAAAGTAAAACTAATTTAATGAAAATAAATTTGTATTTAACAACTAAGACTTCTACATTTATTTATAGTAAAATAACCCATAATAAACCATTTTAAAATATGTGAGTAATTAATAAATTTTTAAAAGTACAGATTTATTCAATGAGATTCATTACTCTATGAATTTTTTTTATTTGTCTCCATCGATGTCACTGATAGTCGAAGATCACCCCTTTTCACAATGTCGAGTCTATTACAAGCTTTTGATAGTAAGTGAGACACACTACGAAAACACAATTCAATTATTTGCTAATTTTTGTATGGACCCAAGTATGGAGCCCCAAGGTTAAGAACCACTGCTATAGAGTATCTTGCAAACTGTTTTGACAGGGACACTGGAATAAGGATTTGAGGGGTTATAATGATTAACATGGCATTGTCCTGGTGGGGAAGGATTTTTTTGACAATATTAATAGCGTCACAATTTCAGAACAAATTTCGTCCATAATTACGTTTCGCATCAGGAAAATGCCTTAACACGTGCGTGACATTAATCTATATACAAGAATTAGTGCGGCTAATGTGGACAGGAATCCCTCGATTAATGCAGGTAATTTTGGATATTAAAAGATACCCACTAATCAAAAACGTATTAATCGAATCTAATAACTTATAGGAAATCGTGTATTTTGTACCTCAAATTTTAATCTCATTCGCAATTCATTTTTAATTTGCGTACGTATTAATTAAAATATAGGTACATATATTTTTTATTATCGGCTTATATTATAAAGTTTATTTATTTATAATCGTCCATTTTTAAACAGTAATATAATTAATTAGATAAATTGACAAACAAAATAGCTACCTATTTTGCATTTTTAAATTTTAGAAAATTTTTGATTAATCAGTAACTCTAAAAAAAATAAATTGTGAATTATTATGGTTAAAGTGAAGAAGCGTTTACTGCACTAATCGAGTATTATGGATACACTAATCGAATGTTGGTATATATAAATTTCACTGCATTAATCGAATGCGCATTAAATACAGTTTTCCAATTATTGTTCCTGTCTATATTTCTGAGATGAGGTATTATGTACACTATTTACATTATTCGGACGATTATCCTCATCTTTCTTGCCATATTTATTACAACGTTTCGGCCTTTCAGTATCTGTATATATTTCTGAGATGAGGTATTATGTACACTATATACATTATTCGGAATATTGTTCTCATCTTTGTCGCCATATTTATTACAACGTTTCGGCATTTCAGTTTCTCTCTATATTTCTGAGATGAGGTATTATGTACACTATTTACATTATTCGGACTATTGTCTTCATCTTTGTTACGATATTTATTACATGGGTCACATGGCACAGTGGATAAAGGCGTTGGTTAGATCCAGTGACAGGACCCAAAGAGTGTGAGTTTAAGGCAGTGGAGAACTTGCAGAGGGGAATAAACAGGAGATAACTGTTAACTGACATCCATTAAAACATGGCACTAAAAACAAAACAGTCTACCCCAGTGAGCAAAATAAAGGGTTCAGTTCGACATTTCAACCAACTGAAGATGGCCGGAGCATACAACGGCCGAAACGTTGTAATAATAAACATGACGACAAAGATGAGTACAATAGTCCGAATAATGTAAATAGTGTATTGTTCCTGTTGTTTTTAACAATAAGTTCCCGTTTACGGTTTTCGTAATATTTTTCTCAGATGAGATAATTCAATGAAAGTTTCTTGGCGTTGTAAAATTTAAAGATTACCGGATGCAAGATGTACTTGAGGAAGATTGGAAGACAGGATCAAAACAATAAAAATCAGGATATTCTCTCTCTTATCTCCACTTATGACTAATTTAACGCGCCCTTTCGACGGATCCTTGTAAAAACATTCTTTATTTGTAAAATTAAAATAAAACTATACGACCGTTCCTTTTGCATACAATCATTTGTTTTTGCTAAAAGTTAGAAATATCAATTATATTTTCATTTGTTTTTAATTAAAAAAAAACATGCTTAACCTTTTGAGCCCTGACCACCGCATTACCGGTGGTAGAAAAAAATGACGTAATGCCCAGTTGAATGCTGGGTAAACACTTGTATGTTTATTTTACCATTACATGATAATTATTTGCGAATTTTGACTCAGGAGCTCAGGCAGAAGAGTTAAAAATTGTTCCGGAACGCAAAACTCAAAAGGTTAAAAGGAAAAATTTGCATTGAGATATAAATAAATTTGTTTTTGCATAAATCATCAGTATAAACTATCGTATAAGAAAATCTTTTTATGCAAGTGTTATATTCCGTATTTAGATGCGTGGGCGATGTGAAAATAATGTAGGCGAAATACTGTGTTTGGTTGCAAACAATGAAATTCAGAATCGAAAGAACAAGACTGTAGATATATTTTATAGTCTTTTTAGTGAGGAAAATAAGAACAAGTAAAAAGGTTCGTATTTAAGAAGTTGAATGTCTATGGTAGTGGCAAGTAAAGTTCCTGGAGTTAACTTGACTTATGGAAGGGGAAAGGTACCCTTTGACAAAGCGTCGGACGAGAGTTCATTAGCAGCAGCGGTCACATGCTTCGTTTGATAGTGTGTCAGGAGCGAGTGACGTGGCCCTTCTGCCTCCGCCGTTGAATGGGACCGCTTTTTGACTTTCCCGTTTTGAACTTATACACGCCTATCGGCTCCAAATGGCAATTTTTTGAATGCGCGGGAGACGGTCCGATTGGTTGATTTAATTCTTTTCATTTTTTTTATAATTTATCCCAAAGGGAAGTATCTGCGTCGAGCCTATGCGTAGACGTGCAGTTTTCATTTCGAGTCGTGATGGTAACTTCCGTTTATCGAAGCAGGGCAAGATCTCATCTTGTAACACAAGTAAAACTTCATCTACAATTATTAAGTTTTTTAACTAATTTCCAACTAAGAATCCTTCACAAAATCCAACGTAGTCTTAAACGAATAAAAAAATGTCAGGACATTTACTGTACGGCTTTTAATTCCTCCACCACTTTTCTAATCATCCACATCCAAATGCTTAAAACGTACATGTTTTATTGCTTCATCCAAGACATTTTCGTTACATTACCTAGCCACCTGTCAAATATATCTTTTTGGAATTAAATAAAACATATTAATGTTTCTGTGTTAAAACTATTTGAAAAAGTTAATAAAATAACAAAAAAAATTATATCCCCAGTTCTCAATGTAGTTAAGATCCTATCAACAGTCGTATGTTTATTCCTTTCGATGTAAAACCTTGTGTGACAAGTTTCAGCGATGAAAATCATTTTACTAGCATAGCTTATTTGTCATTTAATTAGTTGTTCTTCGTTTTATGTTAAGAGCTAAAATTTGATTTATTTCTATTCTTAAAATTATTACATCTTTTCTTAGATGGCAATTCGTTTTTTTTTTTTTTTTTTTATATTCATCTAGAATATTTCTTTACGTTTTTCATTTATTTGATTTGGTTTGGTTTGGTTTGGTTTGGTTTACGGTATATCAACCTCAATGGGTCATTTAATGCCGACAACTTTTTTTTCCTGGTAATATTATTATAAAAAAATGTATTGTTGGTAATATTTATTTTTCAAAAACATATTGCTGGTAATAGTTTTTTTTTCTTCAAAAATTTTATTGCTGGCAATAATTTTTTACAAAGTACTTCTGCTATTAAAAACTATTTTTACACTTTCATAATGCTTTTTACCTCAGTTTCGGGGTTAACTATTTGGCCATAGCTGGAACCCTAACAGGTGCTACCCCCACCCCCGGGTCAGGATGGACCTGAGAACACCAACAATTAAGAGATGTTTCTACTCCTCAAAACCTCCTGATCAGAGGCCTTGCTGCTGGACGTAGTTTATCGTCTTACCCAGGACGGCGTTTTTTATTTATTGTGGGTAATATATATATATATATATATATATATATATATATATATATATATATATATATATATATATAAATTTAGAGTTATTTACTAAGCTTAGCTAAGTCTGGCACAAGTTTGCAGTAGTGAGGATCTGAGTAAACCTAATTAGACTAATGAACTGGTTTGCACAACCATTGACCTATGGCAGGCGCCCTTCTAATAACACATATGTGTAGATACATATAATCTGTTGGGATTTATGGATGCTCATCCATATCGTCTCTTCGTGTAGCTCGCTCATTCATATCGCCTCTTCACGTTATTTGCTCACCCATATCGCCTCTTCATGTGGGATGCTCGCTCAGATTTCCTCTTCATGTGGGATTCTCATCCATAACGTCTTATCATGTGGGATGATCGTTCATATTTTTTATCTTCATGTGGGATTCTCACGAATACTGCCTCTTCATGTGGGATTCTCATCCATATACCGTTCTTCATGTGGGATGCTCGCTCATATGACCTAAACAAAAATGTAGCATTTAACAACTGTGCTGCTTTTTTTTATTATTGTAGCCATTGATATTTTGAGAAGTGTCCAAATACGTTGCCTACAAAAAGTGCCTTAATGTTGAGTGGGTGCTTATGAATGACAAGTGGTATGTCAAAATATAGGATAGGGAGAAGAGCAGGCAGTGGTAGCGGTAACATCAAATGAGAAATCTGCCTTCCCATAACGACAATGGCGTTGACTGGCCTTAACTGTCTTTTTTTGAACGATTGATTTCACTACGCCACGCGGCTCCTTCGACATCTGACACTCTGTGCAAAAGGGGAAAAAAAGAATAGTGACCAGACATCATAGGTATGTTGAAGAATTAAATGCGGTTGTTAAGTGGATGGTCGCGCGCAAGGATGCCTGGGGAGGTAGGTGAAGCAGCGATAATCGCGTGTGTTTTTTTTTTTTTTACTTTGCTTGAAGCCTAAGGAAACAGCTTTTATAAGCTGTTTCGCTTCAGTTTAATAATTTATCTGTCTAAAGATTAAAAAACATAGAATAACTAACACATATTCTTGGGATATTTTCAAAAGTAATCACAATAATACCTACATGCAACAGCATTCACCCGAGGTGTTTCCAGTGCAGATATTGGTCCACTCTGCCATGCCGTGTTTTATATTCGATGTGTTCCAATACCGTGAAACCTGATACAAGTTGGTCGATTGTTTCTGGATATTTATCACAGAATCTGCATTTTAGAGTAACACAATTTTCAGGATGTGCTTTTGGTAATTTCTAGTGATTATTATTATTTTCTTGATATGGCTTATATCTCTTATTCTCTGTTTTGACCAAAAGAATTATTTCTCAAGGAAAATATTTTTCAAATCATCTGGCAAAAGTGCACATTTGTCGGTTTTTATTTACTCTGGTGTCTGTTAGAAATGGAACGAGAAAAAATAATCTCTTGGCGAAAATCAAATTCTATTAACACAAAATTGTGATAAAAAAGCGTTTATTTTAAAATTGCATTGGGTACTTCTTAAGTCTTCCCTTTTCAAAATTTGACTCCTGATAAATATATAATCATATTTATGATTATTAATATTATATACATGCGGACTATTGTCCTCGTCGTCTTATGGCCATATCACGTTGGAACACCGAAAGTTAAGCAACGTCGAGCCTGGTCAGTATTTAGATGAGATGGGAATACCAGGTGCTGTAAGCTTGGATGTGCAGTTGAAGTAAGGAATAACATCTCGGAATTGGAAATTGTAGAGCCAAGTTCCAATTCCAGTTGGGTTCGTTATATTCACTTACGCTCAAATTCCCTTCGGAAAGGTACAAATACCCTCTCCCCCGGCCGGTGATGGATTAATTGATGTAACTTGTATCAGTAAAAATCCTCATTATCTCCAAAATTTTCTCACAATTTGTTATGGTCCGGTTCCTTGTACCACGGTGATAGTCCAAGGTAGAACTAATAAAGAAGAACTCGAACACGTATATGGAATAACACAGATATATTACAAACAGGAATATATACAGAGAATTAGAAAGTGTTAGTATGAACAATCAGGTTTAGTAGCGAGAACAATGTAGTCTCGACCAGTATCACTATTCCAATGCCTTGCAGTAATTGTCTGAACGCGACTGTTTCGGACTGCCTCTGACTCGACTGACTGACTGACTGACTGACTCGCTCTCTCTGACTAACTGACAGACTCCTGACAGACTTCACTCCAGACTTCAGAGTGAATACCCTGCTTCCTCTTGAGGCGCAGTATTTATTACGTATGAAGTAGTCCATTACGTTATATGGATACGGTCCCATAACACAATTTAAAAATATTTTCTGGCTATAAACAACCTGCAAAACGTTGACAAGCCATAAAAAAACAATCAGTTAGTATTATCCTCATCTTTTTATTATTATTCAACGTAGTGCAGTTGAGATGCATGAAGGGAATGGTAAGAAAGAATTTTATTTCTTGGTTTGAAAAAAGATTGATTAGAATTATAAATATGTATAGCTAACCGATGTACGTAAGAGAATCTGTTGTGCCCAAACGGAAGCGTCTTTTACGTGCATGAGCAAAAGATCAAAAAAGACTTTGATGATATGAATTTGATGACACACTTTCTGTGTGTGTCCTCTCTCTTTCTTTCTCCCTCTCACTCACTCATAGCGTGTGTGTGTGTGTGTGTGTGAGAGTGTGATTGTGTGTGTGAAAGAGAGCGAGAGCTTATAGAGATTTATAGCTTATATGAGATTTTCACAAAATGGATGAAGAAGAAAGATATATTTGTATTTCAGGCTAGACTCATACAGCTTTGGTGAAACTATATGTTAAGTTGAGAAAAAGAATCTTTTCGTCAGTGTAAATGCCCAAGAATGAAAATGAGGACATTTCCAAAGAACGTCAACGAAAATTTGAAATTTAAAACAAGGAAATGACTTATTTATTGGACTTAATGTTCCTTCTGATTTTGTTTGCTTGCTTTTCACCAGAACGAGGTGACGCGTTCGCGTATAAATCAGCTTGTATTTCACTTTCTTTTAAAACATTCAACACCGTTATTACCTTTTATTATTTACTAACCTAGCAGCCGCTCTTCGGGTTTTTGGAGCCTTAGGCCTATTACTCTCAGCGCCCTATGTATGTGAACATTACAAGAATTTAGAAATATTAGAAATTCGGTATAATCTTTCTTCGTATACGATATCCTTAGTTTATTTACATTTATTTTGTACATGATTTTTTCTTTTCTTTTAAAATCACCATTCTTTATGATCCCTTCACATAAAGTCAATCTTAAAAGACATTAGGGAACCCAAAGTATATAATGTTTTGAATATGTCACAGTACGCGTCCTAGAAAAAAACCCATATGAGCAACGTACTGTGCCCTGCTAAAGTTTAAATTACGGTTTAATTAAACAATATCAATTGCAATGAAAAGCGAAATTAAAGTTAAACCTTTAATAAAGAATTGTTTTATTTAAACCTTTCACTCGGATATTTAAATTTAACTTAAAATGAGTAATTTATCTAATTTTTCATCGCGTATAACTACAGCAGTTACTATCTGTTGTGGCATAATTTAATTGCATTGAATTACAGGAGGGCGAAAGAAGAGAAGATGAAGTTTTTAATTGTTTGTTTTGACGTCCAATCGCGTAGAATTTAAAATCTCTCCTCTTCATTCATGCTCAATTTTTATAGCGAAGACACAAACCATTTCTTGGCAAGGGAGGTAACCGTAGATTACATCACATCGCCCATTTTTTTTTTAAAGTTCTTTAAATATAAAAATCTATCGGGAGGTCGAATTGATGGGCTAGTGATATTGACAATCAGCTTTTCAAGTTCAGTTATTTGGATTTCGTGTTGATCTCCCTGGCAATTCGACTGGATTCTGTTTCTCCGGGTAACTGACATCCGAAACATGTCTTGATTGACGCTGCAGTGTAGTGGAAGTTTGTGGGTTGATAACTTTTGTTGATGATGGCTCTTCGGTCCTTCCCCTTAGATGAAAGTTATTTTGTCGTTGAATGTCACTGTGTCTTACTTAGATCAGACCTTGGCGAAACAGGTTCTACGACAGCTGGTAAAATTTTTGTTTTTACCGGACGTATATTTTCTTTTTCTTTTTTAAATGCCGTCACTCTTCCTCGACATTTTTTCTTTATAGGAAGTGACAAGCGTCAAGGAGTTGAGATAGACATTGCTTGCGCAGACTCTTAAGCATATTTTATATATATTCTGGAGTCTACCAATGCCTGTGAAAATTTCTAAAAATTCTTTTCTATATTTGTGCTCTTCACTTTTTATAGACTTCACCCTCTACTGCAGGTTAAGAACTTTTATTGCTGATGCCTCCAGTAACAGTTCCCTCAAATCTTCAATAACAAACAAATCCTGTTTAGACCTTGCTTTTGGAGTTATCTGATAAAGCCTTCACATGACCGATAACTTTTATCTAGTAGTCACTTGGTCCATTCAGTTGTTTGTTACAGTTTTAAATAATTGGTGAGTTTGTTTTTTTTTTGGGGGGGGTTTGTTTTTTTTTTTTTTTTTTTTTTATAAAATAACTACTTGGGACTACCATTACATCTGCCTCAATATCCAATCTGAAATGAATTAGTTTACTACATAGCTTAGTAGTAACTATACCTTCAGCTTGCCAGGTTTCTTTCGTGGCCGCCTTACATCAATTAACTCGAGGTCATAGACCCAAAGACGTAGTGTGGTTCTTCGACCCTCACTTCTCGAATATTAGACCTGCCAGTCTTACACTTTTTGCGTAATTTCCTTTTCTTGAACACATTCGGCAAATTGCATTTTTAGCTAGACAGTCGTTTTGCGCGTGAGATGGAATATTGCCACAGAATATACATTTATTTGTACTGCTTTTATGGCGTACAGTATCATGATGCTTCTTTTTATATTTCTTTGGTGTTTGCTTTTATTACATTTATGCCTAAAGAAATATTCTGAGTTTGTTGCTTGCCTGTTTCATAGGCGCTGTCTATGTTTATACATTTGTCTAGGGTAAGACCTTTATCCTTTAAAAATGTTTCCCTAACTGTATCATCTTTAACCCTTACAACTATTTGGTCTCGAATTAGCCTGTCTTATATTTCCTCAAAATGGCAACCTTTTGCTAACTGCCGGAGTGCAGCGACATATGTCTCTATACTCTCTTGAGTTTTATGCTTTCAAATATGAAATTTGAAAGCTTTGTACGCTTCATCGGTTTTTCTAACAGAATATTCATCGAATTTCGCTATTACTACTTCCAAATTACCACCTCTGTACATTATCGAATTTCATTTCTTCCCAAATATCGTATGCGTCTTCTCCTATTATTGACAAAAAGATAGATGTTTGGTATGTAATATCAGGTTCTTTGTTGAGTCGACTAGATTTTGAATAATTTCAAAAGTTTTAAATAGACCTTTTCCAAAGTTAGTTGCCAAATTCCTTGATAAAAATATTTGCATTGGTTATCATGTTCTTATTCAGAATTTTGTTCAATGGCCAAGTCGTCAATTGGACTAAACATCTTTTATTAAACAAAGAAAACAAAATTTGTTTTTCTTTTTTAATGTTTAAACTGTTCGTAGTTTAACGGAGGCACAGTGGAGTAATGGATAGCGTCTCAGACTGAGGAATCGGAGAGTCGAGTTCGAATTCCATTCGAATCCATTACATTCACTTACTTAAAAAGGTATGAATCCTCCTCTGCTATGGATAAATAGCAGAACAGACCGGGTTCTATAGTCTTGGATGGCAACTGGTCTACCGCAGAAATAAAACGGCAACCTACTGCGGGAACAAATCTGCCTCGTCAGTCATGTATCGAAAGATACATGATCACCTAAGCTTGTATCACGCATAGCACATAACTGAGTTTAAAGGCAAAGAAAATTATTTTTTAAAAAACAAATGATTTTACTTAAAATTTCTTACATTATTTACATTATTCGGAATATTGTCCTCATTTTGTCGCCATATTTATTACAACGTTTCGACCGTTGTACGCTTCTTCAGGTGGTTGGAATTCGAAAACCCTTTATTTCGCTCACTGGAGTAAACTGTTCTAGTTCCACTTGTCTTGTTTAATGGATGTCAGTTATCAGTTATCTCTTGTTAATTTCCCTCTGAAAGTTCTCCACTGCCTTAACCGGGAATTGAACTCACATTCTTTGGGTCCTGTCACTGGATCTAACCAATGCCTTTATCCGCTTTATAAACGTTGTAGTAAATATGGCAACAAAGATGAGGACAATAGCCCGAATAATGTAAATAATGTACATAATACCTCATCTCAGAAATATAGACAGATACTGAAAGGCCGAAACGTTGTAATAAATATGGTGACAAATATGAAGTCAATAGTCCAAATAATGAAATAATATAAATAGTATACATAATACCTCATTTCAGAAATATAGACAGATACTGAAAGGACGATACCTTGTAATAAATATGGTGACAAATATGAGGTCAATAGTCCGAATAATGTAAATAGTGTACATAATACCTCATCTCAGAAATATAGACAGATATTAAAATTTCTCGTAATTTTAATTATTTTTTTTAGTCTATTTGTATATTCCAATGCGTTTTTTCTTCTTTCGGGCACTATGCGGCGTAAGTTCTTCCTGAAACAGTGTGGCGTAATTTAATTGTATTAAATTGCAGCAGAGGGAAAGAAAACAAGATGAAGTCTTTAACTGTTTGTTTGGACGTCCAAACTCGTTAAAGCGTAAATTTTAAAATCTTCCCTCCCCAATCATCCTCCGTTTCTATAGCGAAGGCAGATACCATTTCTTTACAAGGGAGATAACCGAAAATTACTCTACACCTGTTACTTCAGATTGTTTATGATTCGCCGAGCTCGAAAAATAAACGGACGGATACACGTACACTGCGCTGTATTATTATAGGGGAGATAGATAGATAGATAGATAGATAGATAGATAGATAGATAGATAGATAGATAGATAATCGACTCAACAAAGAACCTGATATTACATACCAAACATCTATCTTTTTGTCAATAATAGGAGAAGACGCATACGCAACACATCATCACTTCGGAAGTAAGTATTAGTCACAAGTGGGGAGAACAAAATGAAGCCTTAGCGCTAATTTACATAATAGGGACATGATGCAATTAACGTCGTTTGGCACTGGATGAGATAATCAGAGAAATCTTTCTTTTTTATTGTTCACTAGTTTTTCCTACGGAATTTTAAATTTGAGTTTTCCGTTTGAAATAAAAGTTCTTTAACGGGAACTTTAGTAGCACGTTATCGTTCTAATGTCGAATTTCATGTTACTTTTCAAAGATATTGGTAAAGTACAATTTATTGACAATATTGGAAAATTTATAACTGAACGAGTTATCTACATTTGAAATGTTAAAATTTTGGCCTATGTTACTGAACATCTTGTATTAAATTGTTTTATTTTCTATTCAAATTGTACTGAACTCGGATTAGTTATTTAGTCACGTGATTATTGGCATTTACTAATTAATTGTTATTTCTAATTCTTCGAGACTTGATCAATTTAATGATTACTGGTTGATATGAACAGAGTTCCGTTAACTATTGTCGAAATCTTTTCTTTCTTAGCAAACCTAATTTTATATTGTAACTGCGAACGTCGAAATCAAGCAACTACTGAAATTGAAATATTTGAAGATTATTTTACAGATACAGAAAAATGTGACACAAAAATCAGAAAGCGTGTTGGAATAGCAAAAGATGCCTTCCAAAAGCTAAACAAAGTATTAAGGAACAGGAAAATTTTGTTAAAAACAAGAGAGAACATTAGACGGCTATGTGATATCAATCTTCCTATATGACAGTGAAATCTGGATAAGTTACTCGTAAGGCAAGACTCAACACAACAGAAATGTCGTTATACAGAAGGATATTGAGAATACCATAGATGAACATGTGAGCAACGAGGAAGTTTTATGGAAAGCTGGAACAGAAAGAAACACTTACATCTAGTACCAGAAAGATTTTTTTTTTTAATTCTGGGAACACATTATGAAGAAAGAGGGTTGGACAATCTGACATTCTAAGGACAAAATGAAGACACGGAGAAACAGTGAATTACCTACCTGACGAATTGTGTAAATGGATAACAGAACAGCAACTGAGAGAATAGTAAGGAGATAACAATTACTTGAAGCTATGAAAGATAGGAAGTTGTGGAGAGACATGATTACCCATATCTTGAAGGGACACGGAAGATTTCTCCATAAATAACGATAATTCCTGTTTAATTCCGTAAGATTCGCCATTCGACTGTATTTATTTTGGATGTGAGGGGTACACCGAAAATAAATCTGACTATATAATTCAGCGGAAGCTAAAAAAGATACGGTGATCACATTCCAGTAGCATGTTAGATAGAGGATGTTTTCGGTTAAAAAAAAAACATTATTTTCTACCGAGTCACCACCAGTGGATATGCATTTTTGCCAGTAATGGACAAGAACCTGTATTCTACGCTCGTAAAAATCTGCAACATCTGAAACGATGTCATTTTTCATACACTTGCTCATATCCACTGTTTGGTCTCCATAAACGCTTAGCATGAATACCAATGAGTAGTTATCCACATGGAGGAATTCAATGACGGAACTCCTTTTCATGCGCACTTTCATGTCAGACGACATTCTGCAAGGCAACCTCACAGGCGCTAGAAAAAATGATGCTTTATTAATGGGAAGGTTCAACATCGACTGATATACTGCCGATATTCAATTCTAGCGTCGTGGGACAACATTATAGAATATAATAAGATAGGAGGCGTTACTTTTGGAGCGACCTCATATTTAGTGCAATTATTTGTAGAAGAACAGGATGTTTTCAATATTGATTTTTAAGGAAGGCTCTTCTTACTTGAAAGATTCTCCACCGTTATTTGGTGTCGTATTAAGCTAAGCTTAGTAAATTTCAATAATAATAATAATATGAGAATAGTGCCGTTTAAATCCATCCATATTTTTCTTATTTCTTGCTTAGCTTACAAATATTAAACTTTTGTTTGGATTATAAAAATAACGTAAGATTAAATAAATGATTATCTTAAATAAGATTATATAGTGCTCTGCGCATACATAAAATACAAAAATAATATATATATATATATATATATATATATATATATATATATATATATATATATTTATTTATTTACTGACAATAAAATATTCAGCTACTTTTACTATTTCGAAAATCGGTTGCGCGGCCTTGATGCAATTTGGCAACCAATTAAAAGGAATTTTATTATGCATTCATAAACATACACTCTACACTGCCAAGGGAGTACTCACTCGACAATGTAGAGCCATTGAGTTAGCTTCTTACTACATGTTTATCGTATTCACTGTGACCAAGGAATTAGATATTCAGAGTCCCTTACAATATCTTTTGAGAAAATAACGTTAACCCTAACCCTGCCAGAAGCACCTACAGTCTATATTAAGCTCGCTGTGACTCCTGTACTATCTTGAAACTAAAACTGTATTTGATAAACCTGAAAACGAGATTAAAGAGACCGAAACGTAGGAGATGATATCAATCTCAAAAGATGACCTTACAGATATCTGGCCTATTACGGAATAAATGTTGAGATCTCAATAGGAATAATTTGATGTAGAATAAGACGCCACTACCCTAGGTAGGTTTTTTTTTTCTTTAAGATTAAACAAATGAATATTTTTTTAAAAGACTTCATTTGATAATTTTCAAATTCTTATTTCATACATGCGTCGTTTATGTGGCGCTCTAAGAAAATGCATTTCCGGTTAGATGTATTTAAATATGAAAACGGGTAAAACCAGTGATAAACTGATTTAATATTTTACATAAACTTAATCATTTTAGTTTTGTCGTGACTTCTTTGCTGCAAGATTGTCCCCTTCCTTTGTGTTTCGTTGTCCTCTCACTTTCGATATACCTTCCGTCTCTCTTTTCTTGACCCCTTCTTTTGCCTTTTGTTGTCTCCTCTCTTTGTCTTTTGTTGTCCCCTATCTTTGTCTTCCGTTATCCCCTCCCTTTGCCTTTCCTTGTCCCCTATCTTTGTCTTTCCTTGTCTCGTTCCTTTGTCTTTTGTTCTCTTCTAACTTGCCTCCGATGTCCCCTCTATTTGTCTTTCGGTGTTCCGTTCCTTTGTCTTCCGTCTTCCATTATCCCCACCCTTTTGTCTTTCGTTGTCATGAAGTTACTTTAAGAATTTGTTTATATTTTTTTTATTATTGTTGTACTAAAATCTAAATTTTTTTTATTTTACAGGTGAGTACAACATTTTCGTCGTCATTGGATTTGAGAACCGCTACTAATTACAGTTCGTCTGAAGTTATTATGCAATTCACATCAAGCTCAATAATTCGAATTTGCTTTGAAAAATCTTTGCTAAATTTTAAATGATTAGTCAAAAGAATTCGATTTTTGGTTAGTTTCAATATGTTTTATTGAAGTTATTGGATGTATAATAAAAACTACAGACTGTAGTTATTATACAAACTCAACTAATATTAGTTTAAGGACTCTGAAATCTAATAAAACTATTTTTCTTTGTCTCCATAATATATGTTAATGGAAAGGATCTAAAAAATGCTTCAAAACTGAAAATAATTGAGTGAGAAAATGTCCACATTTGATATATAAAAAAACTTCGCAGTGATTATCAAACGATAAAGATGGTTTTTGAAAATATAACTAAATTGACAACTAGAAACAAATGAAAAGACTTTAAGAACTCAAGCGAATTATGAGTAAGGTCGTAAATGGTTGAACATAGGTGTAAAAAACTTCGTAAATTGAGATCTGTCACGAAATATCCTAGGCAAACTTGCCTCAGTAAAGCAAATATTTTAATGCGTCAAAATTAGTCCAAGAAATACATGGAAGTTAACTTTTCTAAATTAATTTTCAAGGACGAATATCGGGTGAGATTCGATTAACCTGATGAATGGGCCAAAGGATGGATTTTTCTTCATTCAGATGTGCCTGTGGCTAAAAGAAAGCTTCAAGGAGGTGTAAATGTGATAGTATCAGCTGGAATTGTCTACCAAACCATTACTGGATCATTTCAAAGTCGATGAAGGAGTGCTAACTATTGTGATTTCATGGACAAGACTTACTTTGAATGGTACAAGTCCCAACCTTGGAAGTTTTAAAGTGAAGGGTGTATTAATGCGCGACAATGATCTTTCTCATGATTAACTGTAAATAAAGCGTAAAATTTCTACAGGAAAGAAGATAATAGAATGATCACCATAAAGTCCAAATCTGAATCCGATCGAAAATCTATGGCTAATTGTGAAGATTAAATTACATTAAGGTGGCAAACTATATGAGAGCAAATCAAACCTATGGTAAGCAAAGCAAACCTATAGTAAGCAAAGCAAACCTTTGGTAAGCAATTAAAGGCATCAAGATGGAAACTGAACATGTTGAAATAAAAAAAGGAAAAATTCAATGGATTGATGACACTTATTGAGAAGAAGGTAGACTATATTAATATGTAAATGCCAAAAAGTTATATATGTTATAAATGTTGATGATTTTATTATCTTGTTATTGAAGTAAAAAATGATTTTCGGTTTTTGCGTAACATCAGATTGCAGTTTTTATACTAAATCTAATAAATTTAATGAAACATGTTGAAACTACTTAAGAATTTAATTCAATCTTTGTTTTAACGTCTAGATCAATCGTTTAAAATTTGACAAAAATTCTTCAAATCACCTTCGACTTATTGGGCTTTATGATTTGCATAATAAATTCAGACGGACTGTAAACAGAAATGGTACGGAATCAGGTGAGTTTCACTGAATTCTTTATTAATTCGACCTTTAAGGATCGCTATAACTGTGCCAAATTAAACATTAAACCAAAATTACAAGAAGAATTAGCTTATTTTTAGTTCTTTTATGAAATTAAATTATTCGATGTTCGAATTTCAATCAGAGTTCGTTATATTCACTTACGTGCGAACACCCATTGGAAAGTTTAAAAAAAAAGGCAAGACACACATAGTCCTATAGACTTGGGTGGCAACCAGTCTAGGAGACGAACTTCTTAACACCTAAACGCCTAGTGTACGGAGCGAGGGCGACAATGGTGCCCGGCTTTCGGACAAGAGCTTTAGCCAAGTTATGTGAAATTAGGAAGAAGTATCAATGTTCCCTTCGATAATTGAAACAGTCGAGTAACTGATGATGAAGAATGGAAGAGAACACATAATAAATTCCTCTTAATTCAGTTAGCCTTTTTTATTTTCATTGGCTCTAAGAAATATGCTTTCACGTATTTTTATTTGTTAGAATATGTTTTAGAACTGAAATTTTTGGAGGTGATAATCTTGCGCCTTTCCGGCGACATTCAATCGAATTGTGTAGATTTCAGACAATTTTGTCTGCTCCCCTGGTTGATGTGTCTTTCATTTATTGGAGGGGTAGGAGCTTTTCGAATTCGTATTTATCGAGATTCGAGATAACTTTCACTTGTATTCGTTGTCGATTTGTTTTTACGAATTTTCCGACTAATATTATCAAAGAAACTGTTGTAATGGAATGTTCCATTCTCACTATTATCTACTGTGGACTGACTATGACAGTAAATATATGTAGTGTGCACAGGACATACGAGATTCTGTCTGGCTGTCTGACTGGCTTCAGGAAGTGTTAGTCGACTTCCCGTCTTTCAGTAGTGTATTCTCTTTTACAATAAACCTCTCTTCCATCCATCTACGTCCGTGTTGCTGTTCCTTCCACTCGAGTACCACCTTTGTCTGTAACCTTTTAAGGATACAACAGAAACATACCTGATAAAAACAAAAGAGACATATATAGAACTGTCAAATGCATCGTCTAACGCTATTTTGCCTTTCCCTCAGTCTAAAATAAACACTTCAACTTCCCTCTATAATATCCCAATGCATTTGCATCGGAAAATGGTCATGATGCGTAAATTTGCTTATCCTCAAATATAACGATCAAGTTCGATTTTGCGTAACAGTTATCAACACGAGAAATATAACAGACGAAACGTGTTCAAATCTTGCTAAGGTTTGTTGCGCTTACATTCTACAAATGACCTTCATGAAGATATAAATCCACTTCTGTAATCTGTCTTACCGCTAGATATGATGGCAAAAAGGTCTCGTCACTGTCATACCACAACAGCTAGTGAAAAATAGAGCTCAGAGCTGTTCGAAATATGCAGCACAATTATATAAAACTTGTAATGACAATATGCATCACTAAAAGACGTGTATAAGAATTGATATCAAAATAATATCCAGGATCTGAGACCAAAAGTTTGTTTAGATGACATTTCTCAATTGAAAAATGCTGCACTCTCCAATACGTAGAAGCGTAGTGGTTAACGTCTCGGAAAGTGAGAGCGGCATGGCGAGTTCACATCCCAACCGAAGTCGTTGCGTTCACTTTCACGAGAATATCTTTGGGGACGGTATGAATACATTTATTCCCGGTCTAGATAAAAAAATTAAAAAAAACAGGACTCTCTGGATTCTCCAACCTTGGCTGGCAAACTGTTTAGGAAAAGGATAAATCTGAATTCAAATCTGGGTTTAGCGCCGTCGCGTTAATACTACCCCATAAAACCCCTAGTGCCTATGGCAAGCAAAGCATCAACACTACAAAGGGGGGAAATGCCTCTGTACTCATTATGAAGTGAGTACTCTTTTCTTCTTGCTATAATTTTTGTATTTCTTTCTACCGACATATAATATCAGTTATTTATTCTATTTAAAATATGACTGCAATTTCAAATTTTTTTCTTAGGCAAATACGAAGTTCATAAAATGTCTACATAAACTTACGCCATTTTTTTTGCGTTAACTTTATTTTAGAAGCGCTCGCCTTAATAAAAAAAGAACAATGCAGAAGCAATTGCGGAACACGGAAAATATTTGATTTGTGAAAATGCAGCATCAGAAATCCACAAGAACTTATTTCAAATGTAGCTATTTCGAAAAATTGCTTTAAGGAATATGATGAGAAACGAGTTACAGAATCTGGGAATACAAGACGTAAAGATTCCTTATTTTCCTTCTCAGGCCCCTAAAATAAAACTAAAAATGTAACTTTTTTTTCTTTAGCATCAGTTGCGGATAAGAATGAAACAAAACCATTCACGCTATTTTTCAATTTTATACCGATGTTGCATTCGTCACAGAATGTATATTTTGTCGATACATGTTTGGAACGTATAAACTAACGTCATCCAAGGTGGCTTCAAGTGAAAAAATTTCAGACCAAATTTTCTATTTCTTAATCCATAGCGTAAACAATTGACTTTGATGAATTTATGTTTCTTAAAATAAGCTTGCCATATTGACAAAGCAAATATCGCGTAGATCCTTCCCCTTTGTCACTTGCTGCTGCAGACACGTGTGTAGGTGCGTGTGCGCATGCGCCTGTATATCTTTGTCCATTGTTTAATCTGTCCGGTCAATTTTCACCAACAATCCTTGTTTGCATTGTACGTTACTGAATTCAGCGGGGCAATTGTTTTCTAAAAATACTTAATTGTACTGCTTGGATATTTTGGGATGCCTAAGTAAAAAAAAAAGTAAGCAGCCAAATGATGAAAACTTTGTACACGCCTAAAACAAGCACTTGTGCGCTAAATTTATATATGAGTGAATTTTTTGTGTGTTCTTTTATGTGTTTTGTTTTGTTTATTTTTGTAAGTCTGTGTGCATTTCTTTGTAAATGCACACGAGCGAAGAATAGACAACAGGCTTACTTAAAATATATCTAAACTGACGAAAGACAATCTTTCAGGAACACTTCGTAGAATGGCTTATATATTATTGCCGTGTTCAATATGTTTTTTTTTAATTGGATTGCAATCAAACAGTTATTCATACGCTGTAAAATCAATTGATTTACGTACGAGAACAAAAGAAAAAAATAAGGGACAACGAAAGACAAAGGAAGGGGACAACGAAAGACAAAGGAAGGCGACAACGAAAGACAAAGGAAGGAGACAACGAAAGACAAAGGAAGGGGACAACGAAAGACAAAAGGGTGGGGATAACGGAAGACAAAGGCACGGAACACCGAAAGACAAATAGAGGGGGCATCGAAGGCAAGTTAGAGGACAACAAAAAACAAAGGAAAGAGACAAGGAAAGGCAAAGAGGGGAGACAACAAAAGGCAAAAGGAGGAGTTAAGAAAAGAGAGACGGAAGGGATATTGAAAGCGAGAGGACAACGAAAGACAAAGAGACGGTGAAATGAAAGACAAAGATAGGGGAGAACGAAAGACAAAGACAGGGGACAACGAAAGACAACGGGACGGTGAAATGAAAGACAAAGGAAGAAATGAGAATTATGGTAGTTTTCTATTGATGTTTATATTTTTCTCAACTATCAGGTCGATTTCATTTTTATATATATTTTCTCGTGAGTTTTATAGAACATTTGTGACTGCCATTGACAATATTTCTTTCTGGAAATATCTAGCAATTACAATTCTATCTGGAAATATCTAGCAATTACAATTCTTGTAATTTACGACACGGATCGATCTAGTGAGAGCTTGTAAGATAAAACCACGGATAAATCCAGCATCTTATACAGTTTAAGACAAAGAGAAAGAAAGAAAGATTGATCCAAGAGAAACTGAATATCAATTATAAAGAACTAATTTTATTCCGTACTAGCAGTAGAGCCCGGCGTTGCCCGGGGATGTAACAGTAAGAGATAGATCAAGTATCGACCATCATAAAGACTGAAAAATAAAATTGACAAAGATTATTGTTTAAGGTTGACGGACACGCAAGTCTTAATTAGTTTTTTTTGTTGTATTTTTTTTCTTTTTTTTACGAATTGGTCAAACCCAAACTCAAACAAAAACATTGTTTTCAATCGTTATGAGTCTACCGATTGAATAGAATTTTATTATAAACAATTGTCTTGTAAATGGAATTTTTAAAGCATTCTGAATGTAAAAATAAAGAAAAAAGTGTGCAAGACAATAAGAAACACTACCTGCCAAAAAAAAAGTGAAGTTTTGTTAAAATCGGTTGAAAAATGTAGGAAATCCGATCCCATATATAAACGAACACACACACACACACACACACAAACAACCTGGATTTTATAAAAAGTATATTTCAATATGAGTTGTCCCCCTTTAATTCTCGCGACAGCGATGCCTCTTAATAATGTTTTCAAATTGATTTCGTGCAAAAACACTTGTGTTTTTCCAAATTTTGGCGCTGTCAGAACCACTGCAAGGTAATTTTACGTAGTCCTGTGAAGTTTTGTTGAAATCGGTTGAAAAATGTAGGAAATCCGATCCAATATATAAACGAACAGACACACACACACACACACACACACAACCTGAGTTTTATAATAAGTATGATGATGCATGAAAGTATAGAAGAGTTCAATATCAATGGCACTTATAAGAGGGAACCACATCGAATAATGATTCCAACTTGTTAAGTCAAAGCTGACCCGCTTACTGAATTGAAAACCTGAGTCTCTTGAAAAAAAAAAAAATAAAAATAACAACTTTTAAACAAAAATATATAATACCATTTTTAATTTATGGTTATTCCGTATCATAAATGTTGTTTTTTTCTGTCCTATTTATGTTACACTTGGATTAGAAGTTTTTTTTTTCTGTGGAATCATTAATGAACACAAGATCCTCTAGTTAATTACTTGCTGACAGAACAAATGTTTATTCTTGTACTGACAAACGTTAACGTGATTGAGACCGTGTGTCATTGTGCAAACAAAGTTAATTATCAAAGTCTACGTGAGTTGAACAAGTAAACCTTAATGAATTGTTTCATTTTACTGCTTTGTATACAAACTTCTTAATTGAAAATTTCGACAAACTATTGTTCGTACATGTCTAATCCATTCATTTTGAATAGGAAAATGTGTGTCAGATGCGTTTCACATTGGGTTTAGAAACTATGATAGCAGAGCCATTCTCACAGATAATCGATATTAAGTGATTTATATTAACTAAATCGGATAGTCAGATATATATGATCGAAAATGTAATCCCTGAACACCCATGGTGTAGACATCCTTCACACTGTACACAAAGTGTAGCAATATGAATCAAGTGTTTGCACATCAACCGAGATTTAGTTTGTAAATATAAGCTTTGTACTCATAAAATGAGAGGCTTCAAAGATTTACAACGGCAGAATTACTATAATCTTTTTTCTTACATTCTCTCTACTTTTCTATTCCCTCACTCTCCTCTCTCTCTCTCTCTCTCTCTCACACTCTTACTCTCTCTCTCTCTCTCTCTCTCTCTCCTCTTACTCTCCTCTCTCTCTCTCACTCATCTCGCGCTCTCTCTCTCTCCTCCTCTCTCTCCCTCACTCTTACTCTCCTCTCTCTCTCTCACTCTCTCTCTCCCTCTTACTCTCCTCTCTCACCTCTCTCTCTCACACTCCTCTCTCTCTCACACTTACTCTCCTCTCTCGCACTCTCTCTCTCTCCTCTCTCCTCTCCTCTCTCCTCTCCTCTCTCTCTCTCTCTCTCTTAGTCTCCTCTCTCTCTCCTCTCCTCTCTCCTCTCTCTCCTCTTAGTCTCCTCTCTCTCTCCTCTCCTCTCTCTCTCTCTCTCTCTCTCTCCTCTTCTCTCCTCTCTCTCCTCTCTCTCTCTCTCCTCTCTCTCCTCTTACTCTCCTCTCTCCCTCTCTCTCCTCTCTCCTCTCTCTCCTCTTACTCTCCTCTCTCTCCTCTCTCTCCTCTCTCTCCTCTCTCCTCTCTCTCTCTCTCCTCTTACTCTCCTCTCTCTCCTCTCCTCTCCTCTCTCTCCTCTCCTCTATCCTCTCTCTCCTCTTACTCTACTCTCTCTCTCTCACTCTTACTCTCCTCTCGCTCTCTCTCTCACACTCCTCTCTCTCTCACTCTTACTCTCCTCTCTCGCTCTCTCTATCACACACTCTCCTCTCTCTCTCTCACTCTTACTCTTCTCTCTCTCTCTCTCTTTCTTACTCTTACTCTCCTCACTCTTACTCTCCTCTCTCTCTCTCTCCTCTCTCTTTCTCACTCTTACTCTCCTCTCTCGCTCTCTCTCTCGATCACCTTCACGATCTATCGGTCTCTCCGCTTTTTTTTGCTCCTTTTATCTCTCTATTAACGCTCTCGCCATTTAAATATATTTTCTCGCTCCACAGTCTTTCTTTCCTTTTCTCTTCAACTCTCTCTTTCTTACCTATCGCTCCCTCTGTCTCTCTATTTCGCTCTCTCTTTATTATCTCTCACTTTTACATCATATTTTATCAGTTCCCAGGCAGACTGTCTCTCTCTCTCTCTCTCTCTCTCTCGCTCGCTCGCAACCCTCCCTTGCACGAATAACAAACGTTTCCAATTACGTCATCTATGTCGACCAATGTTCTCAAATGAAGGCTTCAATGTGAAAGCGTACATATTTTTATTAACTCTTTAGAGTTAAAGTTAATTTTATGCAATTCTTTTTTTTTATCCCGTGACCCCTCAGGGTCGTAGGGACACAATGTGTACAGCAGCCGCAGCAGAAGTGTTGGGAATGATAGCCTGACAGAGCCCAACTCTCTTGAGGCCGGTTTTAATTCAGAAGTTTTTTTCTCCTACGGTGGTTGCCACCCAAGGTTATAGAAGCCAACTTGTCCTGTTATTTACTCATAGCTAGCAGGAGAAGAAAAGGTTTCATACCTTTCCAAAGGGTATTAGCTCGTAAGTGAATGTAATGGATTCGATTGGATTTCGAACTCGGCTCTCCGATTCCTCAATCCGAGCCGCTATCCATCAGTCTACCGGGCATCCTCCTATGGTCTCTATAGCATGCATTTAAAATCAGGAAGAAAGGGATTGTCAGTGGTCAGGAATTAATGCAAAAATTAGTGCTAGAATAGGGCTGTTATATGTATAATGTATTGCTAATGGCTTTATTATAAAAATGCATTGCAAATGAGGAAGAAAGACATTGTCATTGGTCAGGAAAGAATATAAGCATTATTGCTAGAATAGGGATATTAGGTGTATAATGTAAATGCATTGCTAATGTTTTTACTATAGGAATGCATTGAAAATCAGGAAGAAATATTGTCAGTGGTCAAGAATGAATGCAAGTGTTACTGATAGAATAGGACTATTAGATGTATGGTTTAAATGCATTACTAATGATTTTATAACAGAAAGGCAAAGAAAATCAATGTCAATGATCAGGAATAAGTGCAAGCATTATTAAGAGAATAGTATCATATGGTCTGTATCCTTTTTTTTTATCCCATAACCCATCAGGGCCGTGGGGCCATCATGAGTACTGCAACCACAGTATAAGTGGTGTTTCTTGAGCAAAATAGCCTGATGAAGCCAAACCCTCTCCACAACGGTTTTGAATTCAGATTTTTTCCTTCTCCTAGACCGGTTTCTACTCAAGGCTATAGAACCCAGTCTATCCTGCTATTTATCCATAGCTGTGGGGAGAAAAAAGGATTCATACCTTTTCCAAAGTTATTACCACATAAGTGAATGTAATCGATCCGACTGGAATTCGAACTCGACTCTCCGATTCCTGAATTCGAGCCGTTATCCTTTACTTCACCATACTGCAATACTTTCAATTTTATCACAAAGTTAATCATGTAGTTTTCTCTCGTGATGATCTGTTCCAATTCGTTATATTCTTAGAAAGACTTCAACCTCCTTCTGTTCTCCTCACACCTATTCCTTTGATCTTCTAACCCCACCCTTATTTCCCCAGCAAAAATCCGAATCAACTTCATTCACATTATTTTAGACAGACCTCACTTTTTTTTTCCGAAAACTCTTTTCATTTGTTTTCATTTTTCATTTTTTTAAACTTCATGACGGCAGCCATTTTTCTTCTCAACAATTACTTCCTGTTTTCAGACCGATAGTTTTTTAAATTCTTACTGGAATTAAAATTTTATTAGCTGGTAGAAGAACCTGACATTCAGCTATTAAATTAGGCATTTTTCCTTATTTCTTAATACTTTATTTTTTGTTTAGAAATACCAGGAACACGTGGAATTATTCGTCCAATGGTAATTATGCCTATATGAATTATGTGGCCAGAACAGATAACATATGTACCTTATAATGTGCAACAAAATGCTTAGAGAAAAGTTGCTGTCAATCTTTTCGATTAAAATGGCTGATATAAAATAATCTTAGTAATCAGTTCGTTATTCGTATTTTTCTTTAATAAGAATTCTCGAATCTTCAGGCCAGTATAGGAAAATAAATCTACTGCTTAATAAATAGACAGAACGTCTACTCAAATATGAGTATCCACTAAAAATAACGTTTAAAGTAATAAAAATCTGTCGAATTAATAAATAAATTCATTTTTCCTTGGATTACTTACATTATTTACAGTCTGAATAATGTAAATAACACAAGTAATCAGAAAACCTCATCTCAGAGCTATAGAGGCCGAAACGTTGTGAATATGGCAATTAAGATGAGGATAATAGTCCGAATAATTTAAATGATCCAAGTAATCATAATACCTCATCTCAGAGATATAGACAGATATACCTTAGATTATTTATATACCTTTAAAATCTGTAAAGCTCTTATTATGTTATTGTTTTCCGTGAATCAGCGATTTGTCATTAAATTATTTGAATATCCACGATACTAAAAGTTTCCTTTGTTGCAAAGATTATTTGAGTGGAAAGTCTGGACATTTTTTGAAAACAAAATCATTCTGCTTTACGAATTACCTTAGGATTTTACGCAGATATATATATATATATATATATATATATATATATATATATATATAGTCATCCACAGACAGGCTGTTTTCGGTTGCCTCTAGCTAGGATCGAAGCCCGACTGAATTGGCGTCAGTCGGTGATTCTACCACTAAATCGTTGGCGCACAACAGGGATGGAGGTGAATTTAAGCGTATTTACTTTTAGATAAACACACAGTGACTGAGGGAACTCGATTCGATTTACCGAAGAGTCTTGCATTATTAGCAGTAATAGTCACTGTTTACAAACCCACACTTCCTTCCCAGAGAGCTCAATAGAAATATTGAATAAAAACAGTTATATTTAGACAGCAAGTATGCAAGTATTCATCCAAATAAGTTTGCTTAATAAGAAGAGACAAGGCCTGTCTGATAATTTTTTTATTATAAAAAACTAAACAGACACAACTTGTCGGTCCTTTTTAATCAAAATTGTTTATGTAAAAAGAGAGACAGACAGACAGATAGATTTTGGCGAATAAAAGTTTTCGGCTACTTTACAAGATCTGACCAGTTGACGAAATATCAGATTTCTTTTACACAGGCATTTTCATGTATCCGATTACTTTTCAGTCCACTCTCTCTTTCTCTCTCACACACTCTCTCTATATCTCTCATACACACACACACACACACACATATATATATATATATATATATATATATATATATATATATATATATATATATATATATGTATGTATACAGAAATGTACAAATGTACTAACACAAACAAATGCATACAGGCACGCATGATTACCACATAACATAAATATATAGAGAAAAAGAGAGTGATATGTTCTATTCCGTGCTAATAGGAATATATACTTGAAGAACAAACTGGGTAAAATAAGTAAAGGTTTATTGTACAAAACCAGTACAATAAGAATAAAAGTAAGAGTTGTGCACAAGGTCGCGCAAGTCAATCCAGTATTGTGCGCTCCTATTGGAAGGTCGGTAGTTCTTCTGGAAGTCTGGGTCGTACTCAACAGATCCCGGCTAGTCAACTAGCCCCCTGCCCCACCCCACGAGGGTAGATGTGGCACAAGGCCGAGTTTAACATGGGTCTTCCGAGCCCGTAGACTCGGCCAAAAAAAATGCCCATAGAACCTGCATAAACGGAATCGGGTTGGTCAACTTCCCCGAAGGAAACTGCCCTTAGGCAGAGCCTCGTCCGGCTTCCTATCTGCCCGAAGGCAGAGAGTTCGACCGTCTAGCTGGAACACATCCAAGCTAGTATATTTAGCCACCCCCACCACGTTTAACGTGGGTTCTCCGAGCCCGTAGGCTCGGCTAAAAATATTACCTTTTTGAACACGCATAAACGGGTTCCGGGTCAGTCTACCTCCCCGAACGAGACTCTGCCCTTCGACGGAGCCTCGTCAGGGTTCCTCTCTGCTCAGAGGCGGGGAGTTCGACTGTATAGCTGGAAAAGGTCACAGCTAGCATATTTAGCTACCCCCCACGAGAGTTGCATGTGGCACAAGGCCAGTTTAACGTGGGTTCTCCGAGCCCGTAGGCTCTGCCAAACATATTACCTTTTGAACCCGTATAAACGGGTTCAGGGGCAGTCTACCTCCCCGAAAGAGACTCTGCCCTTCAGCCGAGCCTCATCCGGGTTCCTCTATGCTCAGAGGCAGGGAGTTCGACTGTATAGCTGGAACAGGTCACAGCTAATCTCCGTAGTACGTTGACTTACAGATACTTATAGGTAGTTACTACCTATAGTGTAGTTACTCATGGGGATAACAGGGTATTCCATTACATCACGATGAGAAAAGACAATAGGAGATTCTAATATTCTAAGATAATTCTGAACAGATGCAAAAGTGGATAAAGTGTCTAGCTTGGTGCGCGCTCAAACCGTAGATTAAATGTGCGAAAATGAACATGAATAGGGAAAAAGCGCGGTAGTTTCTAACAAAGGATTTTTATGAGTATCAAAAAAATGTGTTAGGAGATCGCGAGTTCCTGGCTAGGACATCCGTTTCAAAAATCCGCCATCCATAACTTTATTTCCCATCTATAGCTCACTATTATTTTTGGCTTTTCCAAAATTGAAAAATACCATGATTTGCTAATATCTCAAAAAGTTATTCCAGAAATATAAAAAAAGGAATTCCAGAAAAATAGTTCCAAGAATAATTTCACCTATACCAATGCAAGTTCATAGTTTCACAAAGAGAGTGAAAGTGAAAGTGAAAGTAGATAATGGTGATTAGATGAGAAAACCTTGTTTTCACAGGTCCATTCCAGAAATTAAATTGTCACATCTTATATATATATATATATATGTGTGTGTGTGTGTATGTGTGTGTGTGTGTGTATATATATATATATATCATTCTGTCGGATTCCGAAACATATTTGATGTATTTCATCCCATATTATATATATATATATATATATATATATATATATATATATATGAATTGGAATCAAATATGTTTCGATGTATTCAAACGTTTTTGATTTATATTTCATCCCAGTTCATATATATATATATATATATATATATATATATATATATATATATATGAATTGGGATCAAATATATATCAAATATGTTTCGGAATCCGACAGAATGATA